TATGAACCTACCTCCTATCGTAAGGCTTGTACTAATCCTCTTTGGCAGCAAGCTATGACTGATGAACTTCAAGCCTTGGACAAAACTCATACTTGGGATCTTGTTGATCTTCCTCGTAGCAAAACTGCGATTGGCTGCAAATGGGTTTACAAAATCAAGACTCATACTGATGGCTCTATTGAACGTTACAAAGCTCGTCTTGTTGCCAAGGGTTTCAACCAGGAATATGGGATTGATTATGAGGAAACCTTCTCCCCTGTTGCTCGGCTTACCTCTGTTCGCAGTTTACTGGCTGTTGCTGCTGCTCGCCACTGGGAGCTCTTACAGATAGATGTCAAAAATGCTTTCCTCAATGGTCATCTTCTTGAAGAGGTCTACACAAAATTTGAGCTACGAGACATTTTCCAAAAAGAAGTCTATAATTTGAATCCATTTTTATTTTGTAAGGAAAAAAAATGACATGTTGAATAAATTGCTTAAAAAATGTTAAATATTGCATAAAAAGAAATGTGTCCTAGTACACTTTCAACTTTTATATCATAATTTCTTCTGTATGTGGATGATATGATTATCACTGGTAATGATGTAGCTGGTATTCTCCACCTCAAACGTTTTCTCCACCGTCAGTTTGAGATGAAGGACCTTGGTACTCTTAACTACTTTTTAGGCCTTGAAGTCTCTGATGATTCTACTGGTTCTTATTTATCTCAGGCCAAATATGCATCCGATCTTCTGGCTTGTGCTGGTCTTACTGATTGCAAAACTGCATCTACTCCGGTTGATCCTCAGATTCGTCTCACTCCTCTCGATGGGGCTCTTCTCCCTGATGCGACTCTTTATCGCCAGCTCGTCGGTAGTCTTGTCTATCTCACAGTGACTCGTCTTGACATTGCCTATGCTGTTCACATTGTTAGTCAGTACATGTCGGCTCCTCGCACTCCCCACTATACTGCTCTACTCCACATCCTTCAATACCTCAAAGGCACTCCGTTCCATGGCCTTCACTACTCTGCTGCATCCTCTCTTGAACTGCGTGCCTTTTCTGATGCTGATTGGGCTGGGGATCCTACGGATCGACGCTCCACCACGGGATTCTGTTTCTTCTTAGGAGATTCTCTTCTTACTTGGCGTAGCAAGAAACAATCCCTCACTGCCCGTTCTAGCACCGAAGTTGAATACCGAGCTTTTGCTGATACTACTCAGGAACTTCTCTGGCTTCGCTGGCTCCTCACTGATATGGGTGTTTCCTCTTCTGGCGCTACCTCTCTTTATTGTGACAATCAGAGTGCCATTCAGATTGCTCACAATGATGTTTTTCATGATCGCACCAAGCATATTGAGATTGATTGTCATTTCATTCGACAGCATGTTACACGTGGTACTGTTCATCTTCTCCCTATTGCTTCTGCCGATCAACCTGCTGATATTTTCACCAAGGCTCATCCGCCTGGGCGCTTCCGTGATCTTGTTTCCAAACTCAACTTGGTCGATGCCTACCCTCCTTGAGTTTGCGGGGGGCTGTTAACATACAATATCCATCATAGTGCATTTGTAGATGTCAACCCACTACCACACACTTTCACTTTTATATTTGTTAATATATTTTATGTTAGTGCTTTAGGCTTTAGATTAGTGCATTTACTTTCAGTTAGTGGACACACTTTTGGCATGATGATATTTGTAATGTTATCTCCTATATAACGGAGAGTGTACCTCTTTATTCAATACATTCAATACGATACCAATCTTTCATTCCAGTCTCTCTCTTTTCTCTCTCTCTCTTTACCAATCTTTCAGTCTAAACAGAGTGCTTTGTAGTCCTTAACACTGTGGAATCGATTCAATTGCTTGTCTTTTGTTTTCCTCATGTTAGATGCCAATACTGTATTTGGACATATGTTTGTGGTGATCTCTTCAAATGCTCTATACGATTGGATCTAAAATAAGAAGAAAAAAAAAAAAAAAAGGCTTCCATCAATCAAATCATCATGCCCAATTAGATGTGCAGTTGGGGAAGGCTTTCTTGTTTGGGTATTACTGTAATGCAGATTTCCAAATGAGTCGTAAAATTCTCGACCCTTAGACATGGCTGGAATTGATAAGGTATACTTGAAGCTGGGCTTGCTGAAGATTTTGCCAACAGAAGTTTTAATGTAATTTTAGGTTGTGTTTGTTTTGAAGGATTAGGGCATGTGATTGGACTATTAGTCCGGATAAACTGTTAGTCCATTGTTTGGTAGTCAATTTTTGCTCTAGACTATTAGTCCCATATTTGTTGAATTTTTGTATCCCATGGGAGGGGGTGGGATAGAAATAATAGGATAACTAATCCCATGTGATTAGCTTATGAAATTACATTTTTGACCCTCTTTTATTTAATATCTTTTCATAGTGATGTTAATTTAAAATTCTATATTAAATAAAAAAATATAAATTATAAATTATAAATTTAATTAAAAATAATAAATTAAAAATTATGGTCTTATAAATTAAATTTTTTTAGTGTTGTTAAAAAATTAAAAGGCAAATTACACTAATAGTCCCTATAGTTTAGTGTTGTTAATTTAAAATTATATATTAAATAAAAAATATAAATTATAAATTTAATTTAATTAAAAATTAAAAATTAAAAATTATGGCCTTATAAATTAAAATTTTTTAGTGTTGTTAAATTATAAATTATAGATTACAAATTTAAAATTATAAATTACAAGGGTAAAATAGTCTTTTGAATATTTATCCTCATCCAGTCCGTCCAACTAAACATTGAATTCACTTAAAATAATCCAATCCAGACATCTAATCTCATGACTGATACAAATTCAATCCAACTAAATAGTTCAGGGACAATGTATCAAAGGACTAACAGTCCGATAGATTACAATCCCCTTATCCAGTCCGTCCAAACAAACATGCCTTTAGGGTAAAAAAGAATATGTTGCACAACTCATCTCTTGAATAGCAAACATTGATTCTTGTAGTCTCTTCTTCTGAGTGTAAACTCATCATGCCAATTAAATTTCATGGCATACAACAATGATGTAGGATAACTGAAGGGTAATTGTGGGGAATTTTGAAGCTGGAGAACATATGTCTACCCACACACTGGTTAGTTTTATTTGTACTTCAAACCCTGTCTTGAAAGGAATTGGTGAGGCAAAATGCTCTATCGGGTAAGCATTAACGGAGGTCAAAGTTTCAACAGATAATCTTGTAGATGTTTATTAAGGTTCCAATTGGATAGATGGATTTTAAATTTGAGCTTTTTTTGCTTTGAATGGCTAGTGCCCAAATCATTTCAAATCCAAATGCAACCTTCAAGGTTTTGCGCCACTTGATTAGTTAGAGGGCTTCTTCACACGATAAGCGCTTACAAATAGGAATGTAACGAGCAATGTAGAGGAAGACCTCAGTGAGCCCGAGGAAAGCGAAGTTGAAGAAGGAACTCTGCTGAGCTTCATAATTACATTTCACCCAAACCAAACACGGTCAGTGGGAAGAAGAATTTTCTTGGGCTGGAAGCGATTAACCCATCTATCGGACTATGTTGTTTCGGTATGGCCTCGCACATAGACCTGTTCATGATCACAAGATGTATAGTACATGTCCAGATGATTGGGACCTGACTCAGAAGCGTAGTCAGTGATTGTGAGCCAATACCTAGAAGAAAGTGCTTCTCAAGATCACCTCAACACTACAACAAGCCACTTTCTGTGAACTCCTCTCTCTGGACTCAACCTAGTGATATCAACATTTTATGGAACCACTACAAATGCAAAATACTATACCTGTCTTGTTTCAAATGAAACGATTGACAGAAGAGGCTTCTACAAATGCTCTGATTGCTTCCATCTTTCAAGGTGAGGATGGGAAGTGCCAACCAATGAGTCTCTTTCGGCCGAGTTCACAATTGATGAGGTTTTGACGCTAAAGCCGGAGGAGATCCGCGTTGGGTTGGATTTCAACCCAACCAACCAGCACATTTGCTGCAATTACGAGAGAGTAAAATGTTACCATTGCTTCGGCCACGCTGAATTTAGGGGCAGCTTTTAATGAGGTGATAGCATTGAGAGGACTTATTCCTCTGTACGTCTCAGTTGGCTCGAGACTGCCTTTCTTTGAGAACACACTTGACATTGTTCATTCTACTCTGTTCTTGGATGGGTGGATTGGAACTGAACTCCTTCGGTTTGTCCTGTTTTATTGGGACCATGCACTCCGGCCTAATGTATCCTCTGGGTGGACCGGTTCTTTTGTAAGAAGGAAAATATGAATCTTTACTCGAATGAATTCACCAAACTTGGCTATCAAAAGCTGCTATACGAATGAATCACACCTACTAGATGCATTATCTACAAAGCTTAAGACTGTTTGTTAAGAATTCATGTTTGATGTCTTGAGTGCCATAGCATTTCCTGCTCAGTTTATTGTATAACCCTCTGCACATGCTATTTTGTGATCACCTTTCAAGGTTGAACTTGAGGAGATCAAAGGCCTCGGACAAGACAGGATCCCAATGAAAGGCTTCGAAGCAATCTAGAATGGAAAAAATACTGCGTGGCATCCTTTAGCTACCACCAAAATGTAAAGATCACAACCTTTATGGCCAAGGTTATTTTATTGCACCCAATACGACAGATTATCGGCAATTGCCTATATCTTAGGCATTTGGTATAACCTTCATTTTCATCAATTGACGAAAAAAATCATGATCTGGAAACAAATGTGATGGGGCTAATTCAATTACAACTTTATTTGACGAATCAATGATTTCTGAACACGTCATCAAGCTAAAAGGACCCAAAAAAACCATTAAAAAAAAAAAGTTTCAAGGAATAATATCCAAATGCAGAACCCATGATAAATGCAGGACCCCTAGACATACACATTAAGACAATGCACGTAAAGCATCCATCTACAAATACTAATTTTAGTTGTCCAGAAATCTATCTACCAAAAACAAGCAAACAAGCAAACAAATAAACAAACAAACAAACAACACCAAAATAAATATAGCTAACTTCTCCAATTCATTCCCAAACTGCATAACTTAAATAGTGTCACTTCATGCATTCATCAAGTCTTGCAAGCTTACACAACACCAAAATAAATTCATCTCAAAAGCACTATTTTACTGCATGACTACCAACAAAAAGAACCATTAATATCTCCACATTAGAGCACCTCGCAGGTCTCTCCTCTAGAGTATCAAGATCTCCACATGTCTATTGCAAATTCTACGTAATCACTTCCTCCAGTACTTTCCCACCCGGCTTCACATCCCTGCACCATGAACATCCAATTAAAATAAAAGAACAAAATGAGGGCCCCTTGCTAGTGTACTCTTGTGCAGTCAACAAAATGTAATTTTAATTTCCTATATATATATATTTGTCAAGTGTATTATGAAAAAGTAAATACTATAATCATTATTTTTCAAGAATCATTTAAGCTTCCTCACCATTTTATTATTTCAAATCTGTTCAATCATTGAAACACAATTTCAACCACTTTTTAGGCTCATTCATCTCTTTTAAAGATGGTGGCCACCATACAATAATTATGACAAGGGCAACAACCAGAGCCTTGGATTTTTCTTCTTTTCGCTTAACTGTGGAAAAATTTACTGGCATGCTATGAAGCACCGACACGTTCCCAGGCTCTGCGTACAAGTGTCAGACACGTGTCGGACACGGACACGCGTCGAGCACGCGGTAGACACATGTCCGACACTCTCTCTAACATGTCTCCTTTTTTTTTTGAAATCTTCCAGTCGGACACGCCATGGACACAGCGGGATACTTTTCGAACACTCGTGAGGTGGATCGAAGAAGCCCTAACTGTTTTCCTTGATCGACAGAGAAAGAGAGAAAGGGATCGAGGGAGACAGAGAAAGAGATCGAGGGAGACAGAGAAGACAGAGAAAGAGATCGAGGGAGAGGAGAAGGCTAACCTATTCAGATCAATCCAAGAAGCTGAAGCTGAGGTATTCTTCTTCTTCTTCTTCTCTTCTCCTCCTCCTCCTCTTCGTTTTCGTCTTCTCTGTCTCCATCATTGCTGTTCTTCTTCCTTTCCTCCTCCCTTTCGTCTCTCTCTTTTCTGACTCTCTCCCTTTGCTTTTTGACTTCACTCTCTCTCTCCTCTATCGTTTCTTTTTTATATTTTTTTTCTTCTTTTTTCTTGATTCAACGTTTCTCTCTCCCCCTCTTTTTTTTTCTTTTTTCTTTTTTCTTTATCCTTATTTTTATGTTAAACTTAAAATTCATAAAATAAATTATTTTTATTTAAAAAAACTCATTTTTTATTAATTTTTTTAAAATATATATTTATTAATTTTATTATTATTTTGATTATATAAGAATTAATGATTTTATTTTTATTTTAGATATATAATAAATAAATAAAATTATATATATTAAACGTGTCCCCAGCGTGTCGTGTCCCCTATTTTTTGAAAAATTGCGTTTTCACGTGTCCGTATCGTGTCCCGTGTCCGTATCCGTGCTACATAGTTATAATCCCATTTACCAGCTTTGAATAAAGCATTCTTGAACTATGCTGCTAATCATCTGTTCAATTATTTAATATACTAATGGAAGTTCCATGTTCTATGTTACATCTATGTGTGTCTGAGCAAGATAAGTTGTCATGGAACTTAAACTTTTGCATACCTCGGCAGCTCTGTTCATTTGATTAATGTATAGTAGGACTTCCTTCTTTGACCTACAGCATCGGTCTCCTGGTCCCAAATAATACTGCACAACAAATTAAACAATTGGCAGAATAGCTGCTAAGTATTACTAGCCATAAACAATCCATATGGTATGAAAATTTAAAAACCAAGATAAAAATGATCAAAGAATGGAATAAATGACTAACAAAAAGTAACAGATATCCTTTGTGTATGGTAGTACCACTTGAAAGGAAGTCCTACTACCTTCCAAGGAGCATAAAGTTAAATCAACTTTCAATATGACCATAAATTCTTATCCATGTAGAATTATATCAATAATAGTTAGAAATCTTTCAGAGTCTCTATAATAAAACTAGAGTTTAGTGTAATTTCGTGAGACATGCTTTACCATTCACAAATAAAAAGATTTTTTCTTCTTTCTCTGATTTCATTTGTTAGTTAATGAATTTCATGATAATTGGTTCAGTTTTTGGAAAATGAAAGTCATGATTAATGATAAACTACCAGTTGTGCTCTTGTGCGCATGGGTATATTCACTAACAAATGTAGCTTAATACATTTCACTAGCAAAAAAGGAGGTTAAGTACATTCAATTTTGTAGCCAAATTGGAATCCATTAGTGGCGAACGTCAATCCATTGGGAAAAAGTCACCTCTAAGTATGCTACGGTGCAAAGTTAATCACACCACCACCATTTTGCAGTAAAATTATATCTCACCCACATTATCAATACAAGCAAAGAGTAAACTGAGATTTAGGGTTATGACATTATGGCAGAAGCAGTCTCTCTAAATTTTTTTTTTAGGTCAAAGTCTCTCTAAGTCCATGTGGTAATCATTACCCTGTAATAGAATTTAATGAAATCAAAACATACATTCATGTTGTATACTGTATTGAAATCAGAAAGTTTAGCAGAATGAAAATTATATTGATTCTTTGCAAATTATACCCGAATCAGAAGAAGAATGAAAGAGAGAAGGGGAAAACCTTGGCCCAAATCCACTGCTCTCAGAGAATCTCTCAATAAAACACAATCTAAAGGAATTCAATTGCAATCCACAGCAACAACTATAGGTATATCAATGAAATTAATCAAAGGTCCACAATTCTATATATATCACCATCGATCTATATATGTAGCAATTTTTGCATATGTTGAAAAAAGTATTGATGCTCAGAAATCACAATAAAAATTGTCAAGAATTGAAATATAATTATGGCCTCAATGAACAACAATTGAAATATAAGAAGTAGATAGAAAGAGGAAATACAATGATCGAAGAGAAGAAGAGAGTGCGAACAAAGCGATTATTTACTGGAAATTGAAACTACATAAAATGAAATAGTGAAAAACAGAAATCACGTACCTTTGACGAAATCGCGAAGAACAGAATTCCAAATGATATTGAAGGCATCGATCATAAGAAGAAATCGCAAAGAACATAAATTGAAGAATAGAAATCGCGAAGGCCAGATGAATGTATCGATCTAAACCCTAGCAAATATATATACAGAGAGAGAGAGAGAGTCGATAGAGATCGAGAGAGAGAGAGGAATTGAGAGATCGAGAGATATTGAGAGATCATGTATAATAAATTAATATTTGGTCTAATCCTAAAATTTGTCTATAGAATTTGTCTATAGAACTTTTGTCTAAAAGTTGTCAAAATAGAAAATAAATAAACAAAAGGATTGAGAGTTAAATAGGATCAAACTTTGTAAATAACAATCAATACCTGATAGGTTTCTTATCCATTTTTTTATTTTTTCCCGCTGAGGAAAAAATGTCAAAACACATCTGGCAAAAATTATCTATTGCCATTTTTGGCTTAAATGAACATGGTTTTTCTTGATGGTGATATCATAAACCTAACAGTTTCCACAACTTTTATTTTAACTTTTTTCCTGAACATAAATTCAATTCATGAAACGATTCATGAATTTGATAACTATATTTCCCTAAAAATAGAAATGGCCATTAGTTGGTTTTGAGATTGAGAGGATTTCATGCACACATAAATTTCACGATTCTAGATGGCTAATTACAACAATTTAATTTGATTCACAATTTTGGCTACACACCTCAAAAAAAAAAAAAGGAAGAAGAAGAAGAAGAAGAAGAAAAACATGCCTTCCATGTTTTCAAATTTCATTGCTTAATTACAAAGAAAAGCAGTTTCAGCATTCAATTTATTGAAGCATTGTGTATTCCTTGCCCTAAGCATTAAAAACAAAAGATTTTCTGCTTCCACACAATTCAAGAACAGTATTTAAAACATAGTGAACAAGGTTAAGATTCCTGACCTTATGCAAATAACAATGACAAAGAATCTGGAAACTCTCCTGTACTATGATAAGAAATAACAGAAAATGGTAAAGACAAAAAGCTGTTATAGAACATGATCTCCGACTGATGAAAGCCGTTCCTCTTGCACCAGAACTTCTCCACCAACACAAGGGTCATCGGTCTGCAATGCAGCATATCACAAGCTCAAGCAACAAGGCTCCAAAATGATTTTATGAGCAGCTTGTTATTCACAAATTTCAATAAAAAGCCAAGAGCAAACCTGGAAGAAAAACAGAAGTTAAGGCCATGGCTATATCCAACAAGGTCAAAAGAAAAATCTCGGCAGCGCTGCAATCATACCCGCAGCAGCAAGTCAATACTACCGAAGAGAATTACTGAATAAGATAGAGATTGCAAAACAGCCTTATTATTTAAAAATAATAAAATAAAAAACAGGAACAAAAAATCATTGCTGTCTGGCGAACCAATAGTCGTTAAGACGTTTTAATAAGATATTTATGAATAAAAATTATAAACGCAAGAAAGAAAAAGAAAGAAAACCAACAATGAAGCAATTTTGCATCTCCTACCCACTGAAACAGGATTAATGCACTGTATGTGTGTCCACATGCTGCAGACTAACAATCAACTGTTTTTTTATCACGTTTCTAGGCAGTTTGGTGTAGACTTCTGAAATTAATGACACTTCAAAAAAAAAAGGAAAAAAAAAAAAAACCTCGGAGGAAAATTAAATTTAAGCAAACATATTAAGATGAATTAGCACAGAAACAATATATGAACAAATAAATAAATACAGAAAGTTGACCAAGGTCACAAAGGTAAGGCAAAGGGACAAATTCAAACAAAATATGTAATAAATAAACACGATGCTAGAAAATTCATCAATTTTTTGTTTGGGTGGGGTAAAGTTATTTCTTACCTGTTCTTCAAAGAAAATTTTCATCGAACACTTTAGCGAAAAGAAGAAAATAGAGAAAAAGTTTTCCATCCGAAGACGTACCAAATCAGTGGAAGCCAAGAAGTAATGACCATGCCGGTAATTACTTGAATAAGAACATAATTTTAACGAAAATCAGAAAGATGGACTTTTCTTACTTGCTTACAAATAAACCTAAGTAGCCACAACAAACCCTCAGCTATTATTTCGCATCTTCTATTGATTCTAATAACACACTCAAAAATCCCCCAAATTTTGTCAAATAAAATCAACAGTGACTCATGCTTAATCACAAAATACACCACCACATATATATATATATATATAGCACATTTCGAGTAGAGATTTGAGCAAAATTGCAAACCAAAGAATATGAGATGTACGGTCGAAGAGTTCAGACTTGAGGAAGTTAGGACGTCTACTTCGATCTTGCGTCGGACCTCAACAGAAATAAATTCAATTTCAAACATTGATATTCAGCAACATGATACATAATATATATAGAGGTACAATACATGTTAGTTAGAGGTGCTAATTTTGAGAAGATTCAAAAGGAGAGGAGCACGAGATTGAGAGAAAGAGAAGTGTATGGAACTTAACTTTTGCATACCTCGGCAGCTCTGTTCATTTTTGATTAATGTATAGTAGGACTTCCTCTTTTGATCTACTAAGCATTGGTTCCTGTCCCAATATATACTGCCACAACAAATTAAACAATTGGCAGAATAGCTGCTAAGTATTACTAGCCATAACAATCGCATATGGTATGAAAATTTAAAATTTCCAAGAAAAACTGATCAAAGAATGGAATAAATGGACTAACAAAAAAGAACAATATCCTTTGTGTATGGTAGTACCACTTGAAAGGAAGTCCTACTACTTCAAGGAGCATAAAGTTAAATAACTTTCAATATGACCATAAATTCTTATCCAATGTAGATTAATCAATAAAGTTAGAAAATCTTTCAGAGTCTCTTAATAAAACTGAGTTTAGTGTATTTCGTAGAGCATGCTTTACCATTCACAAATAAAAGATTTTTTTCTTCATTTCTCTGATTTCAATTTGTTAGCTTAATAATTTCATATAAATTTGTTTCTGTTTTGGAAAATGAAAGTCATGATTAATGATAAAGTCTAACCAGTTGTGCTCTTGTGCGCATGGGTATATTCACTAACAAATGTGCTTAATAATTTCATAGGAAAAAAGGAGGTTAAGTACATTAATTTTGTAGCCAAATTGGAATCCATTGTGGCGAACGTCAATCCATTGTAAAAGTCACTCTAAGTATGGCTCAGGTGCAAGTTAATCAACCAGCACCACCATTTGTGCAGTATAAATTATATCCACCCACTTATCAATACAAGCAAAGAGTAAACTGAGATTTAGGGTTATACATTATGGCAGAAGCAGTCTCTCTAAAATTTTTTTTCTTAGGTCAAAGCTCTCTAAGTCCAATGTGGTAATCATTTACCTGTAATAGAATTTAATGAAAATCAAAACATAATCATGTTTATACTGTATTGAAATCAGAAAGTTTAGCAGACATGAAATTATATTGATTCTTTGGCAAATTATACCTGAAATCCAGAAGAAAATGAAGAGAGAAGGGAAACCTTGGCCCAATCCACTGCTGCTCAAGAGAAGCTCTCATAAAACACAATGCTAAAAGGAATTCAGATTGCAATCCACAAGCAACAACTATAGTTATATCAATGAATGAATCAAAGGGGTCCACAATTCATATATATCACCAATCGATCTATATATGTAGCAATTTTGCATTATGTTGAAAAAAGTGATTGATGCTCAAAATCAACAAAAAAATTTCAAAATTTGAAATATATTATGGCTCATGAACAACAATTGAATATAAGAAGTAGATAGAAAGAGGAAATACAATGATCGAAGAGAGAAGAGAGTCGAAACAAAGCGATTATTTACTGGAAATTGAAACTACATAAAACTGAATAGTGAAAAACGAATGCAGTACCTTTGACGAAATCGCGAAGAACAGAATTCCAAATGATTATTGAAGCATTCGATCATAAGCAAGAAATCGCAAAGAACATAAATTGAAGATAGAAATCGCGAGGCCAGATGAAGTATCGATCTAAACCCTAGCAAAATATATATCAGAAAGAGAGAGAGAGAGTCAATTGAGATCGAGAGAGAGAGAGTGAATTGAGAGATCGAGGAGTATTGAGAGATCGGAGAGAGGAAGAGTGAATTCATACCGGTGTTTGGGCGAGCGAGAGAAAGAGAGCGATGTTGAGAGTCTGAGCAGGCTCCTAGGGCAAATATAAATAAAAGAAATAAGTGAAATAAAGCCCCAAAAAAATACACAAATAAACGAAGATTTTTAAAAAAAAAAATAAGATAATAATTTTTTGCTACGGTTAATGACGGTCGCAAAAAAACTAGACGCAAAAAATCAATTTTCTAGTAGTGATTGCTATGCGCAAAAAGCTTAGCGCCGACTTTTCTTCTTGTTTTTTTTATTTTAAATTTTTAAAGTTAAAACACTCAAAACTAAATTATAGTGTATTTGTTTTTACTTTTCATTGAGAAGAAAACACAAAATGGAATTATAATAGGTCCTATAATTAGAATTATTTACTTATAAAGTTCTGAATTTTTTTTTTTTTTTTTTTATGTATTTACTTTTGTTTTGAATAATGAAACTTCTGAAACGCTATAGTTTTGTTTTGTGTTTAGGAAATAATCACTTGTACTAGTAAATGAAGCTGAAAATTTTATCAAAAATAATAAAATGATTGAGACATTAGACTTTATTTGTGAGTTTTATATTATTTTTTAGTTTTATTCAGTGGCAACACTAGAAAAATTATATAGATAGGGTCATCAACAAATTTAAGCTCCATAAATTTTTATTTAAAAAAAAAAATTAAGCTAATTAACATTTTAATTTCTTCACCTTTTAAAGTAAAAATAAATTTTTGATAAAATATTATTATCTAAGATAAAAAAAGGAGATGCCAGCCAATAAACCCCAAATTGCCTAAATCTTTTGATTCATTTAGGTCCTAACTTTTGTCTTTATGAACCAATAAGTCCTAATTCCAGTGTTAATGAACAAATAGCCCATGTTTTTTTATCGCGTGGTGCACCATCTAGTAAGGGTAAATGTGGGTTTTTTGGCGAAATGTGGAATTTACGTCTCTGCCCCAAAATCTTATGTGTAGAGATTTTGGTTTCTTTCTAAACCAATCGGAATGGAAGCCGACTTGTATGGAAATTCTTGTTTGTTTATGTTTAATGGGAAATAATATTTGGGTGTTTTGTGCTCCATCAGTAATGAGACAACGTTGAAATCCTTGTGGAGTCATAACCTAAAATTACAATTTTTTTCCTCCTAAACCCTAGAAAATACGAAACCCCTCGTCTAACATTAAATTTACATCGCGAGTTGGAGCCGGCGTTGTGACGTTGTTGTGTTTGTGCGTGAATGTGTACGACGTGTATCGTCAGTAACAACCTCCATTTGCCAAACTAACACAATCACTGACGACGACAAATGGAGGTTGTTACTCGACGATACACGTCCGTACACATCACGCACAACACACAACGTCACAACGGCCGCTCCCAAATCGCCGATGTAAATTTATGTTAGACGAGGGGTTTCGTAATTTTCTAGGGTTTAGGAGGAAAAATAATTGTTAATTTAGGTTATGACTCCACAGGATTCAACGTTGTCTATTACTGATGGAAGCACAAACACACCCAATATTATCCATTAACATAAACAAAACAAGAAATTTCCATACAAGTCGCTTCCATTCCGATTGGTTAGAAAGGAAACGCAAATCTTACAGTAAGATTTTGGGCAGAAGACGTAATATCCAACATCGGCAAAAACCCATTTACCCTACTAGAATGGTGCACCACGCGATAAAACATGGGGCTATTTGTTCATTAAACACTGAATAGGACTTATTGGTTCATAAGACAAAAGTTAGGACTAAATGAATCAAAGATAGGAATTTGGGATTTATGGTGCATTCTCCTTTTTTAATTTTTTTTAAAGATAATAATATTTTATCAAAAAATTTATTTACTTGAAAAAGGTGAAAAATTAAAAATGTTAATTAGCCTTAAATTTTTTTTTTAAATAAAAATTTTATGGAAGCTTAAATTTGTTGGATGACGCCTATCTTTAAATTTTCTAAGTGTTGCCACTGAAATAAACTAAAAATAAAATTAAAACTCACAAAATAAAAAGTCATAATGTCTCAATCATTTTATATTTTGAATAAAAATTTTCAGCTCATTACAGTTTACCAATGATTATTCCTAAACACAAAACAAAAACTATAAGGTTTCAGAATGTTTTTCTTATCAAACAAGAAGTAAATACATAAAAAAAAAAAACTCAGAACTTTAAGTTAAAATAATTCTAATTAATAACCTATTGATAATCTCAATTTTGTGTTTTCCTCATGAAAGTAAAAACAAATACACTATGAATTTAGTTTATGAGTGTTTAACTTAAGAAAATTTAAAAAAAAACCAGAGAAAAGTCGGCGCTAAGCTTTTGCGGCATAGCAATCACTACTAGAAAATTGATTTTTTTGGGCGTCTATTTTTTGCGACCGTCTATTTAACCTAGCAAAATATAGCTATTTTCTATCTCCGTTATGTATTTTGCTTATTTTCAACTTATTTTCTTTTTTTATATTTGCCCTAGTTGAGCCTTGCTCAACTCTAAACATCGCTCTCTTTCTCTCGCTCGCCCAAACACCGGTATGATCACTTCTTCCTCTCTCGATC